CTTTTTAAGAACTTTTTCAAAAAAGCTTTCCAGCAGAACAAATGCTATAAATAACATATTCTTGGATATGAAAACTCCAATATGCATAATTATTACGTCATTATCGGGATAAAAGCAACAGCCACTGCAGCAGGAGGATAGCTCTCATCGTCGGCATCATCGAATGAAAAAAAAGGAGCTTAATTTGAGAAGCTATGTCGCTGAGTAGAGGCAAAAGCTAGTAAAGTCAATATCAAAGATAAATAAAAATTTCAGAGATGCGACAGCTAGGCAAGGGCAATAAAAAGTAAGCAAAAAGTGTTCCGAATTTACAAAGAAAAAAGGAAAGAAAGAAAGAAAAAAGAAATGTTTTGATTTTTTATTTGAAAGTCTTGCTTGTAAACTTTTTTTCTAACGACCTTTCAGACTTCATCAGCTATTGCTGTTGCCAACAACGACAGCTACAGCGAAAAGAACAAAGAACTGATGATTGTTTAGAGGATAATCTAGAAAACTAATTGTCGATCAAATTGCTTTTTGTCTTTTTACAGTTTCTTTCAGTTTATTCCCCTGCTTAACAGTTTTCCGAATACTGTAATGCTAATAAACTAAGATTTCGAATCCACGTTTAAAAATTAAAAAGAGTTTGAAAAAGTTAGATAGAAAAGAAATAGATCAGATTCAACTATTAAAAATAAATAGCAGTTAATGTGCCGATATATTATTCGATCAGTGCGGGTATAAACACTGCCTTCTTTTTAGTGTTTTTAGTATAAAACCTTTTTTTGCTTTATTTTTCTTTGTTTATTTGTTTAAGTACTACTGCAATCGAAAAAAGGTGAAAGAAAAACTGAAAAAGGAGTCGTGAAAATGCATGAAAAAGCAATAAAAGTAAATTACTGTCTGCTTAATGTTATCAACAAACAAAGTTCTTTCTTTGAAGACAATTATTTCAGACTGTAAATTTATAACTAAACTAAAAACTGATAGTCCCAACAACAAATTAATGCAGATACCTATATTATAGATTTCTAATGTCAACTTGTGACATCAGTAGTAATAACAGTAGCAGCAGCAGTAGCAGTAGCAACATTATCAGCATCAACAAAAAACTCGACAAAATGTTGGACAGAAATTTAGCAGTCATTTTTTTGCTACTAGTAGTTGTCATTGTTTACCTAATTACAAAGCTGTCAAAATTCAGCCTTTTCAACTATACTCTAAGACAGCAATAATTACGATGGCAAAAGATTTTACAAAAGTTCTCATATTTCACCTACCCATTCCAATTGTCTGCTATGTTGTTGTTGCTGTTGTTCAGCCACCGTAACCTGAGAAAGTAATCACGAGGATTTCAGTGGTTT